CCCCCAAGATGCAACTTTATGGGATGTTCCCACAACCCCTGTGGCACCAAATGTCTATCTAAAAGAGTTAGCCTATAACTAGAATTATTCACAGTATTCCTTAAATTCTTGATTAGCCAGTTGCTTTTCATTTTTTGATAGCCAGCATCAGATTAGAATGTTTGCGACTGGATTTTTTTTCACCGCATATGTTCCTACTTGGGGTGCACGATCAAAATGAAAATAGCCTACAAAAAGATGTCTTGCGAACTTGCAAACGTGTCTATCTAGTGTTCGGCACGCTTTTCTTCTCAGTAATCCCTGCGAACACACATCTGAACATCCTCCTGCTGTCCCAGCGCTTCTCATGCCAATACAGCGGCGCAGCGTTCATTAACACCTCTATAATTGGATAACAATAGTCTTAATGGGTGGCGCTAATTGAGGAAGCAGAATATTAGAAACGTGTCTTAAGGCTTTTACAGGCCGTCAAACAGCAGTGAGTCATTAATGATTGTCCAAAACACAGAGAATTCACATTGAAGCCTTCAAATAACATGCAGAGCTCAGGCAGGCAGGAAGTGTGAAAATCTGCTAAAATAAATACAAGAACAATTATCAATACGATAGCCTATGTATTCAGGCTATTGTAATAGCAAAGGACCAGCATAAACCAGCAAAAGACCAGCAAAGGACCAGCTTCTTCAAATAACATGCAGAGCTCAGGCAGGCAGGAAGTGTGAAAATCTGCTAAAATAAATACAAGAACAATATCAATATGATAGCCTATGTATTCAGGCTATTGTAATATAATAATATCGTAATATTAGCCTAATATAATAGTAGGCTACATAATAGCTCTATAATATGCCTATATTGTAATATTAATAATTATTATTCTTTGATGTTTATTTATGCTGGCTATTTATTAATTTATTGTTGAAGTCAATGAATTACGTTCCACATCTGACCAATGACGACCAATAATTATGCTTAGAACATATAGCCTATCGATAATTCTATAGGAAAGTATATCTGTAGGTTTACACACAACGTTCTTTGTGGGTTGTACAGGTTCCAAAATGCACGACTATGTTAAAAATGTTAGTTGTTATAAATCTAAAACTATTGCCCGTTCTGTCGTTGGTATTTTTGGAAAAACATCAACTTATAGACTAAATTCTGTCATGTTCCATGAGGTGTGGTGATATTCATGTCATTTATTGAACGTTACTTTTTGTTTATGTAATTCCACCGCTTACCAACTTGTGTTTACTAAATCAAGTCTCTTTCTGTTGCAATATGTTGGGAGAATATTTCCATCTGCTGGACAAAGTTTAGCATTACAGCAAAGAGAGACATGCAAATCCCAGAGCGAAACCAGATTTAAAAAACCAGCATATGCTGGTTAGGTATGTTTTGACGCTGGGATGCTGGTTTAAGCTGGTCCTTTGCCAGCAAATGACCAGTTTAGACCAGCAAAGGACCAGCTTAGACCAGCAAAGGACCAGCTTAGACCAGCAAAGGACCAGCTTAGACCAGCAAAGGACCAGCTTAGACCAGCAAAGGACCAGCTTAGACCAGCAAAGGACCAGCTTAGACCAGCAAAGGACCAGCTTAGACCAGCAAAGGACCAGCTTAGACCAGCAAAGGACCAGCTTAGACCAGCAAAGGACCAGCTTAGACCAGCAAAGGACCAGCTTAGACCAGCAAAGGACCAGCTTAGACCAGCAAAGGACCAGCTTAGACCAGCAAAGGACCAGCTTAGACCAGCAAAGGACCAGCTTAGACCAGCAAAGGACCAGCTTAGACCAGCAAAGGACCAGCTTAGACCAGCAAAGGACCAGCTTAGACCAGCAAAGGACCAGCTTAGACCAGCAAAGGACCAGCTTAGACCAGCAAAGGACCAGCTTAGACCAGCAAAGGACCAGCTTAGACCAGCAAAGGACCAGCTTAGACCAGCAAAGGACCAGCTTAGACCAGCAAAGGACCAGCTTAGACCAGCAAAGGACCAGCTTAGACCAGCAAAGGACCAGCTTAGACCAGCAAAGGACCAGCTTAGACCAGCAAAGGACCAGCTTAGACCAGCAAAGGACCAGCTTAGACCAGCAAAGGACCAGCTTAGACCAGCAAAGGACCAGCTTAGACCAGCAAAGGACCAGCTTAGACCAGCAAAGGACCAGCTTAGACCAGCAAAGGACCAGCTTAGACCAGCAAAGGACCAGCTTAGACCAGCAAAGGACCAGTTTAAACCAGCATCCCAGCGTCAAAACATACCTAACCAGCATATGCTGTTTTTTTCAACAGGGTTTACTTCAAGCATGGGTATTTTAGTATTACTAGTTTTGTTTTCCGTTTTATTTTAATTGTTGTTAAAGTTTTAGTAATTTTATTTTGTGCATTTTGCTGTTTGTTTAATGTTAAACTAAATGAAAATGAGAACTTTTTCTTTGGTGACTAACTGAAATAGTCATATTTATAATATTAAAATCACATTAATCATAATTTATTTTATTTCAATAAACATTTTTATTTGATTATTTTTAGTTAAGTAAATTATAGCCCTGCCATTCTGACATTACATTGCAGGCCACAGATTTGATCAAATAATTTGGTTTTACTGCATTTTGCTGTTTGTTTAATGTTAAACTAAATGAAAATGAGAACTTTTTCTTTGGTGACTAACTGAAATAATGTCATATTTATAATATTAAAATAACATTAATCATAATTTATTTTATTTCAATAAACATTTTTATTTGATTATTTTTAGTTAAGTAAATTATAGCCCTGCCATTCTGACATTACATTGCAGGCCACAGATTTGATCAAATAATTTGGTTTTACTGCTAACAAACATCATATGTATGACAACACTGTAAATAAATCTATACTCTGATGTTTGAAATCAGGCCCTTTCCCCACACAAACACGGCAGATAAGCAGTGGCTAAAATAGCAAACATGCTCTAACCTTGAACAGTTCTGAGTCTCCAGTACATATAAAAACAACCCGGTGAGGTTTACACATAATCACACTTTCATAATGATCTATTCAAAGTCCACTACACTGCACTGCTTAGTTACCCAAGCCAAATATACTGTAACAACGTTTTGCCAGCTAAAAGTGTCATTTAAAGTTTTTTTTCCAAGTCAAAAGCATTGCCAGTAAACCTGACTACACTGAGTTACACAATGAAAATCATTTGAAGGATTAGATCAGCTAATTCAGTGAACAATGTGTTCACTTTTATGAGTGCAAAATAAAAACAAGGCAGAGATTTAGTCTATAATAAATAAACTCACATGGAACAATATAATTTGTTAAAAGGTCCCACTGCAAGAAGACATATTCAGATGATTAAAAACAACTATACACTATATTGAATAGCATTTTTCAGGGTTAAAATTGAGCATTTCTGCAGACTTTTGCCAACATTTGTCTCACTAAAATGAAGGAAGATTTCAAATGAACACCGCAATAGCCTCTGAGGGTTTGTGAAAAGTCAAATTTAATTTAAATACAATTCAAGCTGTAACATAAATGCAGATTAAACAAAGGTTTTACAGAACAGTACTTGTGCATTTATATATTTAGTCATATATTTTCTAATGTCATAAAACAAGACTGAAGACGTCAAAACAATATGGAGAACCAAACCTACAGTGGCCCCAAAAATATCTGGAAGTGTCCAAATAGGCTTGGGGCCGCTGTATAACGTCTACTAATAGATGCTGGCTCTTTCAAATCTTTTACATGAAAACAACTGTCATAAAGTTTGCCTCTGACATGTAAAAATGGAAGGAAAACAATCTGGACCATATATATACGTGTAAAAAAAACAGGATCTGTTGTCATAATATTAAACTAGTCATCGCCTCCAAGGATTTAAAAGCCAATGGGTTACAATAGAAAATATAGTGATCTGCTTACTTGTAATAAAAATCTATTGTGCGCCTATAGTTTTAAATATACGTTCCCAATGTAAAACATTCCCCATATCTGTCCTTGTTATCTGACGAAAGCCACGAAACCATTTTATCACAAAAATATATGTTATAGCATCATATGACACGACAATATTCAGCATGTCTATCTTTGGTTTTCTATTCATTCAAAGACTTAGTGGTACATAAAGCAACATAGTATCAAATCTAGAGATTGCACATCTAGAACCATTGAAAGGGATAATTCTTGTACAATCTACACGGAGTAAAAAACATAGATATCTAATATACATAATGTATCAAGAAGCAATCTGAAGGAAGGGCTTTTAGCACTTAGTAATAATATTCCCGGACTATTTAACAGTTTTATGCAGCATAGACGACAGCAAAAACAAGAGAGGGCCTGTAGTCGGTGCAGTTCTGTGATTGTAAAGGACGCTGCGCTTCCAAACAAGCTTCCCGCTGTACAATCTGCATCTGTCTGGTGGTTTGAAGCACATTCTGGGAAATCACCCCACCGGATCATTGAAATGTGTGTTCTTCCCCCCCCTCTTCTCATATCTGACGAAAGCCACGAAACCATTTTATCACAAAAATATATGTTATAGCATCATATGACACGACAATATTCAGCATGTCTATCTTTGGTTTTCTATTCATTCAAAGACTTAGTGGTACATAAAGCAACATAGTATCAAATCTAGAGATTGCACATCTAGAACCATTGAAAGGGATAATTCTTGTACAATCTACACGGAGTAAAAAACATAGATATCTAATATACATAATGTATCAAGAAGCAATCTGAAGGAAGGGCTTTTAGCACTTAGTAATAATATTCCCGGACTATTTAACAGTTTTATGCAGCATAGACGACAGCAAAAACAAGAGAGGGCCTATAGTCGGTGCAGTTCTGTGATTGTAAAGGACGCTGCGCTTCCAAACAAGCTTCCCACTGTACAATCTGCATCTGTCTGGTGGTTTGAAGCACATTCTGGGAAATCACCCCACCGGATCATTGAAATGTGTGTTTTTCCCCCCCCTCTTCTCATAGTCAATACAACACGGTAGGTGAACCTGGTTTTGGTTTGCAGACTGAAAGTTCTTAAAGCGCTGCAGAAGAATCGACGCGGGCCAACAAATCTGAAATAAGTGCTGGAGGGTTTAATACGTGGGCATCTCTAAAGAGAAAAATGGCTGTATTCTCCAACGCCTCACCTGAAAGTGAGACGATGGAGGGAAGGAAAAGGAGGGGGGGAGGGGAAGATGGCGAAAGGCAAGAGGGGGCCTGGGTAGATGGAGGAAGAGGACCTGCCCACCAGCAGCCATCTCTTCAGTGCTGTGGGCCACACGAACACAGCGGCCATCTTTAGGGCTCAGGATCGCACCTTCCTCAGAGTGAGGTTTGAGTTCTGTTAACATAAAGATTTAGCATTATTTATATTATTAATAATATATACATATATATTTAACATTCACAATGCCATTCAAAAGTTTGGGGTTGGTAAAATGTAATGTTTTTTGAAAGAAGTATCTTATGTTCACAAATACTGCATTAATTTGATCAAAAATACAGTAAAATCAGTAATATTAATACAATTTCAAATAACTGTTTTCTATGTGAACATATGTTAAAATGTCATTTATTCCTGTGATGCAAATCTGAATTTTCAGCATCATTACTAAAGGCCTTCAGTGTCACATGATCTTCAGAAATCATTCTAATATGCTGATTTGCTGCTCAAAAAACATTTCTTTTCTTTATCAATGTTGAAAACAGCTGGGCTGCTTCCTATTTTTGTGGAAACCATTTTCCAGGATTCTTTTATGAACAGAAAGTTCTCAATAACTTATAACGGTCTATACTGTCACTTTTGAGCAACCTTTCTGAATAAAAAGCATGTTGTCAAACCTGCTGCTGGCTGTTAGAGGTCTCTTTCCTTCTTCACCTTCACATCACCCGCCAGGATTGTAGAGATCTCGCCTTGCATGAAGGCCCACGGCACGTTGGAGCCCACGAGAGGGCACTTCTCTCCACTGGGGCAGTACACCTCATTCCCTGAGCCCTGTCTGCAGATGAAGTCCCGAGTGCAAGGGAAGCAGAACTTGTGCCCGGGCACCGACGGACACTGGACGAAGTGTGTGTCCTCCAGGCGCTCGTGGCAGATGGTGCAGCACAGAGGAGCACCTCCTCCTCCTCCAGCTCCTCCTGAGCCTTCGCCTCCCATGACGGCACTCTGGTCAGCGAGGGACGCGGTGACGGTCGTGGTCGGTCCTCCTGCGCTACTTCCCACCGATGGTTCTCCGTTGCGCGACGCCAGCCGCCGCTGACCGCCTGCGGGTGAAGGGCTTGCGCTGTTCTGCCGCCCTGCGTTGGCACCGCTGCTGCCGCCCGGTGCATCTTTAGGGGCCTGGGTGGCCGTGCCGACGTTGTCAGCCACACTCATGAGCGCCGAGATGGGTGACGGGTCGCTACCATGCGCCCCCATGCCCTCTGGAGGCTGCCCCACGCTGGCTAGCAAGGTTGCTGGAATATGGCCGGGCAATCCGGGATACACGCCAAGCGGCCAATGCTGGCGCATCTCCTCTGAGCTCATCCTCTCGGCTCCGTCCGGCTCGGGCGAGGCTTTGCGCCTGCGCACTCTTGGCTGCGTGGGACGGCCGATGTGGCAGAGCGCGCTGGGTAACATGGAGCAGCTGGGGTCCAGGTAAAGCTGCGGGAGGGTTTCCGGGGCCGGCGCATCTTTGAACGCCCGCACTCCATCGCTGAGCAGCTCCGACAGGAGGCGCCAGTCGCCGGTGCCATGCCTTTTCTCATACTCCACGTATTTGTACCCCGAATTAATGACCTTTCCGGTGTCTTTCTGAGAGTCGTGGAACATCTGCTTGACCAGCGCTAAGACGCTGGGGAACACGTTACCGGATCCGCAGGGATACTCGATGAAGACCTTCAGCTCAAACTCAGCCATCAGCTTGGCGTCAAAAGCGAATACCCTTCCCGCCAGGCCGTGGTCTTTCTTAAAGCGCACATTGAACGGGGTGCAGCCGGAAAGGGCGTGCAAGGCCTCGCGCATGTGTTTGGGGCGTCCAGCCCAGTCTTCTGCGCGGTTCCGGACGCTTTCGGAAAGCTCGGCGAGGGCTTCGGCGTTCCTCTGCTTCTCCTTGAGCTCCTTTTCGAATTCCGGGATCATGAAAGACGCCACGCCCACGTTCATCCCCATGCCCATGGCCTGTCTTTTGCTGAGCTCGTTTAACATGGGGGCGGAAATGGTCAAGGGGGCGCCACCAGCTCGGGCATTCAGACCAGGCATGGCAGTCAGCAGGCCATGAGGGGCTCCGACAAGCCCTTGCGCCATTAAATTGGGTGGCACAGCCCCCACTAAAGTCCTCCTGGCGGTAGGACTCTGTCTACTAACCTCAGGCGGACCTCCATCTTCCAGTCTGGGCAGCCCGTTGGGCAGCCTGGCAGACATGTATTCTCCCCTTCCCCGTTCATATCGCTCGGAGGGCGGTCTGCCGGTCTCCAAAGGACCCTCCTTACCAGCGGGAGCGTGTTTACCGCCGGGCTGCGGACCCGGAGATCTGCCCTCCTGCATCACATGTGTTCGCTTGAGCTGCCGCGCCGCGTCGATGAGCAGCTCTATTCTGTCCGCGCCCTCGTAGTTCACGCAGCCTCTGCACACGGCCTCGCTGAAGTCCCAAATCATGGCCCACGGCATCTTTGGCAGGTCGCAAAGGTAGCACCATTGCCGCCTGGAAGACGCCTGCGAGGAAGAGGACATATTTGATAGGCCCTCGCGATCTTGCGTTCTCAAATCCACCGTGAATCTCTTTCTTCTGCGCGGTTCCGGATGCTTTCGGAAAGCTCGGCGAGGGCTTCAGCATTCCTCTGCTTCTCCTTGAGCTCCTTTTCGAATTCCGGGATCATGAAAGACGCCACGCCCACGTTCATCCCCATGGCCTGTCTTTTGCTGAGCTCGTTTAACATGGGGGCAGAAATGGTCAAGGGGGCGCCGCCAGCTCGGGCATTCAGACCAGGCATGGCAGTCAGCAGGCCATGAGGGGCTCCGACAAGCCCTTGCGCCATTAAATTGGGTGGCACAGCCCCCACTAAAGTCCTCCTGGCGGTAGGACTCTGTCTACTAACCTCAGGCGGACCTCCATCTTCCAGTCTGGGCAGCCCGTTGGGCAGCCTGGCAGACATGTATTCTCCCCTTCCCCGTTCATATCGCTCGGAAGGCGGTCTGCCGGTCTCCATAGGACCCTCCTTACCAGCGGGACCGTGTTTACCGCCGGGCTGCGGACCCGGAGATCTGCCGTCCTGCATCACATGTGTTCGCTTGAGCTGCCGCGCCGCGTCGATGAGCAGCTCTATTCTGTCCGCGCCCTCGTAGTTCACGCAGCCTCTGCACACGGCCTCGCTGAAGTCCCAAATCATGGCCCACGGCATCTTTGGCAGGTCGCAAAGGTAGCACCATTGCCGCCTGGAAGACGCCTGCGAGGAAGAGGACATATTTGATAGGCCCTCGCGATCTTGCGTTCTCAAATCCACCGTGAATCTCTTTCACAGCCAGCCTCCGAGCGCTTGCGGTCGATTATTTCCTCGTTATGGATGAGTTTATGCAACTCCGTTGGATTTTGTGTCATTCAGAATCGAGGAGTTTGAAGTTTCTGCCAAGTCGTCTGGGCCGCAGAGTTTCTCCTGGAAGACGTTCCGAAAGTTACGCAACACTGACCCGTGGAATTGTGGGAAGTGTAGTTTTGCACAGCCGAACGCGCTCTTTCCTCGTAGTTGCTTCTGCCGAAACAAAGTACTTAACTTTTATTTTTAAAATAAAGCCCCCAAAATATTTATGGAAGAGAGGAATCGGACATCAGATTATCTCTTTTCTTGATTCTTTTTTATTGTGAGGCTCACAATATATCTATGTAAAATAACTTATTTAACTATGTTTATTGCGGAAATAATTAGTATGTATTTATTTTATCACTGTTTTCTCTTATTTTTTTAGAATACATTTGATATAACTTAATTAGATTTATTGGATTATAATGACTTATACTTTCTCGTTTATTTATTTATTATTATTTTTTGACTATGAAACGTCATTGTAATGCCTAGTCAAATAAAAATTAACATGTCTAGCAATATTAAATATTAAATGCGAATAATAACAACGTGTTCTTGCAAAAAGTTTAGACTGCAATTCCCATTTTACAAATAGTTGACGTCACTTCCGCTATTCCCAACTGCTTGTTTCAAAAACTTCCGGTGTTATATTACGGAAGTGATGTTCCGTGTAACTGTAATAAGTGGTGTTCTTCTGTGTGTTTGTTTAACAATTTAATTCTGTTTATAAGATACTTACGATATATAGACTCGTGGTACTTGTTTACAAGGCTTAACGTTACCATCTCTGAAACGCCCAATTTACACAAGAAACGGCTTGTTTTATTTGATTTTTAGCGTTTGGTATGCTAAGTGCAAATCGCTTATTTTAAATCGTAAACAGGAAATGATATCACAGAACAGTATATGCAAATATACTGGGTGAATAAATAATATACATATTATACAATACACAATCACCTACAGTACAGTTTTTGTGTGTTCTGATAACATTAAAAAAAAGACAAAACACTGGTCTTGTGATTTTAACTTATAATGCTATTTGTTCTTTAATATTTTGTGTTGGTGGTGATTGTGAACCAAGATCCTGTCTTTCTGATCCATATTTATCCTACAGAGCAGAGGATGGCCGGTCTGTATCTGTTTCTTCTGCAGATTTGCGGCAATGCTTACAAACTGTATACAAGCCTTGTAAGAGTAAGAGCAGAGAGCTGGTGCTGTAGTAACCTCCATATACAAGAAACTGTAACAGAAGATGAAAAATGTAAATATAATGTAACACATTTGACCAGACACTCATTAATTAGAATTAAAGCCTTAATTCATGTTATGCATAGATTTCCATTACTGTCTTAAAAATCTTTATAACCTGCTGTATCATATTTGATACATCAAAATGATCAACATGTTCAAAACTTTCTGAAAATTGTGTACTATGTCATCTGATTGATAGTTTATATGTTTAGTATAATTATAAAAATGTCCATTATCAGGCTGTGGTTCATGTGTCTTTTTATACATGTTATTGGGAGATATAGCGTTACAAATGATACTTATATGCATTTTATGTAAGTAGCTCTTATACAGTAATAAAAATGTCACTGATTTACATTACAAGTTATAAGAATATCATCTTACATTTTGGCCATATAAATTTAAGCATCTGCATCAAATGCATTTAATATATATATATATATATTTTTTTTTTCTTTTTCTATTATATTTTGTGTAAACTTTTCCATTTTTAAATCTCCTTAAGTTCAGTGTAGTGAGAGCTTACCTGTGTCACAATGTCCAGTCCCGGGGCTGAATTGTCCACCACAATAGCAGTAAGTATAGTTTGAAGTAACAAAAGTGTTAATGCCAAAAGTTAAAACGTAACATTCCATAGAGAGGTTAACTGCTATCTGAAATCTTGCAGCAAAAGGGGGAAAAAAAGGAAAAAGTTAGTCAATGAAAAATACCTGTATTCTTTTTCATTGCATATCTTATGCTTCCTATGTCCATTGTGTGATGACTAACTTACATTGTGACTGTGATGAGAGATGATGCTTTGAAGATAGCGTAGCCTGCGTAGCACTGCCAGATATTGCTGGTGAGGCCCATGAGAAAGACACCCTGCACCAATGGCAGAGAAAACACCCAGCGAGAGCTCGCCCCACACACCCCACTGCACTCTGATATAACCCACAGAGAAAGCTGCCGCCACACCTGAAAGCAACAATCACGAATCACAATAAGGGAGACGTAAAATCTGCGAACAAAGAAGAGGCATGACGCAAGGCAACAATTAAATTGGGGAAATGCATTTAGACTGCATTTTTATTCTGTATGACGCTCAGAACTCATTTATGTTGCCTTTGTTTGAATGTTCTTGTCAAGGCATCAAAACTGAGAGACATTCTCTTCTGCTGTAATTAAAGTGACTACTAACCAAACCCCTACCGGTGTAATTGCTTAAATTATCTTCCCCCACACATACTGGGCTGCTGAATATGCAAACTGCATACCAATTAAGCGTTATAAGTCTTCTGCACAACGCATATTATGATTCAACGTATGATTTGTGGATAAAGCAGGATTGGTTCGGCTAGGCATATTCTGATATCTTTCACTATAAAGGATTTATTACACTTTTGATAGTGTTTATGGTTAATGAAGTCATTGAGTCTCAGATACAATCTTTTATTTTACAAAGTTTATTTTTCTTCTAAATGTTTCCTTATTGACATCTACGATTCAGAACCCACAAAAGGTTCTTTATTGTGGAAAAAAGGTTCTTTACACATTTAAAGGGATAGTTCACCTCAAAATATATATCTTTTTGTCATAATCTACTCACCCTCATGTTGTTTTAATGCTGTATGCATTTCTTTTTTTTGTTGAACACATATAGGCTATATATATATATTTTATTTTATTTTTATTTTTTTCCCCCATAATATGGAAGTCAGTGGCTACCAGCAACTTTGGTTTGGTTCCCAACATTTTTCAAAATATCTCCTTTTTTGTTGAACAGAAGAAACTCAGTTTCAAAAAGGGGGTTTTCGTAGTGATTTTGGGTTCCTCAAAGAACATTGTTTTGAAAATTGAACAATGGAAATTTTCCATGGATGTTATAGGTTCTTCATGGGAAAAAAAATTGTGATAGTGATTTTTTTTCTTTCGTTTTTAGAGTGTAAATCATGAAAATATTTTTCACACTAAGCAAAAAAAAAAAAGGTTGTTTTAAGAATGTTTTACTGAAAGGTCCTTTGGGGAACCCAAAATGGTTCTTCTATTGCATTGCCGTGAAAACGCCCTTTTGGAAACTTTATTTTTTACCTTTATTTACTTAAATACTCCACAAAATGCCTCACCTACAAGTGTGCAGACCCCCTCAACTCCTCCATTATACACAGAGGATGTACTGGAGGGCTCAATGTGGTCCCACTTCAGCTGAACGTAGCCAAAGCCCACCAGAGGGACCACTGCACCAGTCTTCTGGAGGAGTAGGACTCCTTGAGACTCTCCCACATTTGTTTTCCAGAGGGTTTAATGTTCCCCCAATCACAGCATGCTCCTGTAGCCTGCTTTGCTAGATCTGTTTCTCACCCATCTGTGACCTCATTCAGTGTGTCCGTAGACACCTCCACCTTCTTCTTAAAAAACATTCCTTATTGAGGCATCGGCAGGCCCAAAGAAATACAAAGCCACTGACATTATACCCAGAGTAATAGTGTTTACATGGAAGTAGCTTGTGTCAGCCAGTGAAATTAATAGCTGTCCTAATGTGGCTCCAAAGATATATATGCCATCAGCATGGCACTGCGAACGTACCCTATGGCCCATTGGTAGCGTTCGGGAGGAATAACGCTGTAGATGTATGAAAAATAGGCCACTTCGGTGGTGGTGACCATTGCAAAGTTGAACTGTAGGTAGGTCAGAGCAATTAAACTGTTAGCAATGCACAGAAGTATGTAATTTGTGTCAAGAAAAAGACCTTGAGTTACTATTAGAGGCTTGTATCTAAGCAAATCTGTCTGGGCAGAGCACGGCCAGATATAAGTACGTCCAGATGGGGAACAGGTAGTTTGTTACCTGGATGAGTGGAAAGAAGATGGCTTTTGGTCATTTGAATAAGAAACAGAAGGAAATGTTTAGGTAAATGATTTGAAATCAGTGTGGCTACTTCAGAGTATATTGCGTAAGAGATAAGACTCACAAGGCACGTGTAGCATGAGTGAGGCATCGCTATTGTAGTAATCAACGGAGAAAGTTAATGTAGTTAACCAATATTTTGACTAGTTTTAGTTTAATTATAAGTTTCTGAGGTTTTAGAACTGATAATATGATTACTTTTCACCCCAGAGAAAGCTTTGGGTAAGGAAATATGTTTTCGAGGGCACCTATTATAATATATCTAGCTTACAAAATCCAATCAACACTAGACATTCATCCTTCATCATTCTCATTGTAATGGGAGTATTTGACATACTAAATGCTTAGTATATTATGGTGTAAATTGTACTGTGTGTGCTTGTTTCTCACTGTTGTTATCTGTCTGAACCCTTAAACAATCTCTCAGCCAACGTGGAAAAAAACCCAATACTCACCACTTCCTCTGAGATGTTTTTGGGTCCCACCAAGTAAGGAGTAAGGAAAGGCTCTGCCGGTCTGCAGTTGGCAAAGAAACCATAAAGAGAGAGCAAAACAGTGGAAAAGACCCAGTCTGACCTCTTAATTTTCCTCCAGAAATTCATTCTTATCTGCCTGTCTGTATTTTCACTACCACAAGATTATGTCTCTCATTTTAGGTCCAGTAGCTGTTGGTCTGGTGTATCTGTTGGTGTTTTTGCTGTGCAGTGTAAAGTAAGCCAAGTCCAGTCCCTGATTTCCACATAAGGAGCTGTGCAAGGTGGGTAAATGAATATATTTATGAGAGACTTTGATCTGTGCGCATGTAAGCCCTAATTGTTGGTTTGTGCGTATGCGTGTTTGTGTTGATTAAAAAAAAATCGATTTTGAGATTCAGATTATTTAACTGTATTAATTAATGTTTATCTGTATAGCACTTTTTACTATACATATTGTTTCAAAGCAGCTATAAACAAATAAGCAAACTACAGATATATGACCACAGGGTTTACAGAAACTTGAGAAAATTCAGAAGATTTCAAAATAAGGCACTTAACTAATCTGCAGTGTGTCGTAAATATTATGTAATATTTTCAGTTTCATAATTGTATCATATTGTATTCTTATTACTTTAAAATAGCTAATAAGAAAAAAGTGCAATTATTTCAACCCAATCTACATTTACATTTAGTCATTTAGCAGACGCTTTTATCCAAAGCGACTTACAAATGAGGACAATAAAAGCAGTCAAAACTAACAAAAGAGCAACAATATATAAGTGCAAATGACAAGTCTCGGCCTAACGCAGTACATGTAGCAAGGTGTATACACACACACACACACACACAGACACACACACACACACACACACACACACACACACACACACACACACACACACAAAGAAAAACAAGTAGATAG